ATCTAGCACTCTCTTTCATCCATGTTTTCAAATTCTCATCCAAATATCAAAATTAATGATAAAATACCAACCCATGTTTTTCATTTTTATCAAATTCTCAATGATTTGATCGTGACATGCTTAAATACATTGGTTCGAAAGTTCAATAATATCACAATGCTGGATTTTGTAAATAGCAATGTCTCGGGTGCTATGTAAGTAATTATTCTTTGATTTTTAAATGCCTCTTTATTATGCACAATTGTTGATAATTATGTTTTAGATAATATATATTTTGAGTTATCATTTCAATTTTAAGTGAGTCTATCATTTTGTGAAAGCAAATCGCTTTCTAATTCAAATTGTTTTGTATTAGAATAAATCATTAAGCAAAGATTGAATTTTACATTTTAGCTATGATTATTAGAATGCAACGATCGACCTTAATTCTTTTTTAATTAATTGTTTTTATTTTATATTTTAATTTTTATCTCAAACATCAAGGAAACTTCAGCATAATTGAAATTTATCAAATTAATATTAATCTATTTTCAAAATTTAAATTATCCTCAAAATATTAAAATTCATTAGTTTTATTTCTTATTTTTTTAAAAAAAAATCATATGGCGAGTCTAAATATATGGATTTAATTAGTCTAAAAAATGGTTTGAATATTAAAATAATGAATAGTTAAATTTTGAGGGATAAGAATGTAATTAGAGAGAATATTTAAGCCCTATGGCGCAGGAAGCCTAATTGCCCTCAAATTTATTTCTGATTTGAGAGCAAGTAGAAGACTGGGCAGAAATGTCCGCTCGATTGCTGAGGAGAGTCCTAAAGGAGCAAGATGAGCAGCGTCTCAGCTCGTCACTCATCCCAGATGCCGGCGGCGGCGGCGGCATCGGCGGAATCGGAGGCGACGAGGTGGACGAGGAGTCCGATTCTCCCATCGCCGGTGCTCCTTCAAGAAACCTCTTCGATCTCCTCGACGACGGGGTTGGTCTTCTCTCAACTACGCAATTTATGGGTTAATGATCCGTTTGTTTTGGTTTCATGATTCTTTGATGCCATATAGTGTTTGGATTGTGATTTTCTATGCTTTTGTTGCATTAGGGATTTTATTTTATTTTTTATTGCTTGTGATTTCTTTGTCGGCTAATGCTCAAATCTGTATGCCATTCACCAGTCTCTTGTGTGACAGATGATGCATAAAAATCTATTACCATTAGGTTTACTTCTCCCTCCAACGTTGTAACTCGTCATCATTTAAAGTTGCGTTTGGTATTCCTTTATGGTTATGTTAATCCATACAGTTATCTTCTAAGCAGCTGTTTGGGTAAAAATAGGGCTTAATTCAAGTATGATTTACTACATCTCGAGAAAGCCTTTTGGTTTAATAATTGTTAAAGCCAGCTAAATTCTACAATAAACTGTATTGTCATTTGTTTTAAGATTTTAGATTCAAATAAATAGGAGTGGGGAGGATAAGAAAACCGGTGTAGAAAGCGCCATTGCTGAGCTCTTTGAAATTAGACCATTCATTGGCAAACGAATGTTTGGATCCTTTCATCTGTTTTCAGAATAATGACTTGCCGTCATTTATAAAGCCACACCTCCACTCTTCCTCTGGCAGCTGTTTCTTCAATGCCGCTTCCAGTGTTTGTTTCATTTTATGCACATTGTTCTCTCTTTAAAATCCTACATTTTAGCGACTCTTTGTCAGTATCTTTGCCGTATCCTCAAGAGTAGTGAAGTAATTATGGCCTCACAGCTGTTTTTGAGGTCATTTGCTTGTTCATCAGGGAAGATGTTATGTTAGAATGATAATTGGATGTTGATTGTTAGTGTTGTGGTGAGATCTAGATGTATATCAGTTGATTTGGTATATATATAAATCAAACAGGAGAACGATCGACGAACCGAAAAATGGAATGAGAAAAAATTACGCCAGAAAAAAGACACAGATTTACGTGGTTCGACAACTTGCCTATGTTCACGGAGTTGCAGAGGATTTTACTACTTGAAGAAATTTACACCAGTCGATCACCCTCGACTTACAAGAGGAATATCTCTCATTCACTTCGTTGCTCTCTCTTCTTTTTACTCTGTTCTTCTCTTTCTACACCGAGATACACCGAAGAAACTCTACACCGAGATACACCGAAGAAGATAAACTTACAAGAGAAATAAATTCAATTTCTCTTCTGCCACAAGTCACCAAGAAAAAGCCTAGGGAGAACAATCTTCTTCTTACTTCTGCCGCAAGGAACTACCGCTTGCACTTCTCTTCTTCTACCCCGAGGAAACCTTCCTCTATCTCGAGGAAACCGAAGAAGAACTCAAACCGTGACTTCTAAACCCAAGGAGAGTCATCCGAAGCTTTTATCACGAACAGAAATGAACGAATGGATGTTTTGCTTCGCAACAGAGGAAGGTTGCGCTTACGATTCGCGAATCGACCCAGGCGGGAACGGTCGTGACTATTTCACAATTTAAGCGGGAGCACAGAGCGAGAGATCACGAAACATCGCAATCGAGTGAGCGGAAGTGGGGGTCGGACCGAGCTCCATTTCTAACAAATCTCCCACTTGGAGACCAGTACACAAACTACAACATCTCCTTCCTCAATTGATTTCCTCCACCATGAATCCTCCACTGTGAATCCTTTACCTTGAATCCTCCAACTCAAAGCCTCTGTCTTCACTCCAAAAGACCAACTGAAGCTATGTACAACTTCAGTTTCTCAAGAGTAACACTCTCAGTCAACATATCAACGGACTTCACATAGATTTGCACCTCCAAACTATTTTCTGGGTTACTCTTGTCTTTTTTTACAACTCCCACTGCATGGGCAACATCCTGCCTCTGCTGAAAGTCTTTTCAACAAGTCTAACTTTGTACCTATTACTAAAATTACGCTCAGTCTTCACCTGGTACACCCACTTGTTCTGCAATGTATTCTTCACTGGTGGAAGTTCTGTCAGCTCTCACTTGCTCGAACTTTTATCTTGCAAGTATCTTGCAAGATTTCTTCTTTGTGGTTCTTCAACATCTGTCTGTGGAACAATAAGAATGGATGTCCCAGACTCACTTTCCTCTTCACTTCCATCACTGCCATGCACTGTGGCCTCTGGTAGATTTCCTACCACATTCAAAGCCCTTAAATCCAATATCAAGTCTTCAAAAGAACTATGAATTATCAACAATAGTGCATCCAGTGATTCTTCATATACCACATTTGCGCTATAATTTTTCATCTGCTTGAGATTTCTGCAGTTCCTCCTTATGTGGTCAATCTTGACACAATTTCAGCAGACAACCTGCTGACTAGACTTTGATTTTGATCTCCCTCTATTTGAGTTCTTTTCATGTCATCTCCTTTTAAAATCAATATTCAGTGTCGAACTCGTACCTGAGATGATCTCGCCAGAATCTTTTCTGCGAACTTCCTCAGCCAAGATCAAATCACGAATATTATCATATTTCAGTTTAGATTTAATTGTAGAGCTATCCTCATGACTTCTCAATTATCTGATAATGAAGCTAACAAGATCAGTGTCCATATCTCATCATCAAAATCAATTTCTACAGACGACAATTGATTTGTGATAGTATTGAAATCATTCAGGCGTTGAGCAACAGAAACAACTTCCACCATCTTCAAATTGAATAATTGTTTCATCAAGTACACATTATTATTCGCCGATGACTTTTCATACATACCTGATAAGGCTCCCATGAGAGCTGCGGTGGTCCTCTCCTTGACGATGTTGTGTGCAATGGACATCGATAGGGTCAATCGAATAACCCTCAGAACTTGTCGATCCAACAAATTACATTCAGCCTAATACATCCTTTCAGGTCTTTTCCCCAATAACGGAAGATGAAGTTTCAATTTGCATTTTCCAATAACAAAATTTGTGTCATCAAATTTCTCGATGCATGAAATCTTCACTTTATCTGCAATCATCATTCTTTCTCAGATCCGAACAAATTTTTGATACCAGTTGTTATGACGAAATTTAGATATATACCAGTTGATGTGGTATATATTTAAATCAAATAGGATAACGATCGATGAAGCGAAAAATAGAACGAGAAAAAATCACACCAGAAAAAAACACACAGCGGAAGACAGATTTATGTGGTTCGGCAAATTGTCTACGTCCATGGAGTTGCAGAGGATTTTTCTACTTGAGAAAATTTACACCAGTTGATCATCTCGACCTACAAGAGGAATTCTTCACTTCCACTTCGTTGCTCTCTGTTTTTCTCTCTCTGCACCGAGATACACCGAAGAAACTCTATTCCGAGATACACCGAAGAAGATAAATTTACAAGAGAAATAAACTCAATTTCTCTTCTACCACAAGTCACCAAGAAGAAGCCTAGGGGAACAATCTTCTTCTTCTTTTAGCCGCAAGGAACTACCGTCTGCACTTCTCTTCCTCTACCCCGACGAAACATTCCTCTATCCTGAGGAAACCGAAGAAGAACTCAATCCGTGACTTCTAAACCCAAGGAGAGCCATCCGAAGCTTTTATCACAAACAGGAAGGAACGAAGGGATGTTTCGCTTCACAACAGAGGAAGGCAGGAGTGGTTGGCACTTACGGTTCGCGAATCGACGCAAGGCGGGAAAGAACGCAACTGTTTCGTGATCGAAGCGGGAGATCACGAAACATTGCAATCGGGTGAGCGGAAGCGGGGCTCCGGACCGGGCTCCGGACCGGGCTCCACTTCTAACAGTTAGGAGCACTTGGAGCTTAAGATTAGCACCATCGTGGTTAGATCTCCTTAAATTCAGCTCTAGGTAGGATTTACTCAATCCGATTATTTCTCAAAATTGGTGTAGAAATGGAATTTAACATAACACTTGGACTTAACCCTATCTCGCTAACTTGCTTACGATAGCTATAGGTTGCATCTGGAAAAGTTTGAGCTGCTACAGTTTTTTTTTTTTAATTTTTTGTTGTTAAATCTTTTCAAGTTTCCTTTATCATATTGCATGGTACTTTTCAGGGCTCTGAAGAGGATACTGCTAACGTTAGTACAGAAGATATTTCGGAAAAGCAGCAATATGTGGTTACTAAATCCTCTGACGTAGTTCCTGCTATTAATCGCAGATCAAAGAAGAAAAAGAAAAAAAATAAGGAGATACAGAAATTCGCGAAAGGGAAAGTCGAAGAATCATTAGATTCAATTCTAGAAGAGCTTTCTATTGATGTAAAGGCTTCTAATGAAAACATCTGTCATAGTGCTAAAGAACGAAATGAGAATGTGATTGATGCTACGAAAAAGCAAGTCGGTTCTTCAATCCTAACAGCGGATCCTAAACACTTAAAAGCTGAGTCTGAATTGCGGAAAATATTTGGTTCTAGAGTTGTTAATTCTTTTGAAAACAATGAGATTGGGGGCAACTTGAGGCAGATGCATGGTGGAAGACGTGCAATTCACAACCCACGCAGAACCATTCTTGTCACTCCATCAAGTTATTGGCCGCGATGGGATGGGTCTTTGTCCATGGAATTGATCGAAATAAAGGATGGGCTTCATTATTTTAGGTAAGTTGCTATTATCTTCATGCAATGACTTTTAGGAGGTAATGGTTTTTTGGATGGGTTTGTGGTATCCTTTTTAATAACAATGTTATATTAAATGTAATTATATACATTATAATCACGTATTTTTCAAAAATTAGAATAAAAAAATTAATAATCTCTTGATTTTCCCAAGAGCATTGGTTTGTTCATGGTATGCATGCTTGAACATGAAGTTACCAAGGTGGAATGGAATAACCTATTGGTGCAATAAGTTAGCACTATTCAACCTACTGTCATTACCATTCCATCCAGTGTCTAAGCTAGGACCTAAGATTTTGGGTCCAAATCATCAAGGGATGAAGTATTGAAGGTTTAGGAGTAATTTGGTTAAAGCTTAATTGCACTTTAGTTGACTCAAACCAGTTAACCAAAATTGTCCCCTTAGAAAGAATATAGGATAAGCTAATCCTTTCTTTTCCTTGAGCCAAGATGATTTAGTGTCCGGGTCTCCATATGATTCTAGGATGTTGTGTGTGTGTATATATATATATATATATACATACTATGTGGGTGTGTATGCATAAATGTGCACACACACATACATACATAAATATACAAACATACATACTTAGGATTAGTTTTTTATAAGGGTATTTATTTAAGTGGTTGTGTAGTTTTCTGACGTATGTTGTGTACAATCATGCTATTAGCAAATGCCTAATATTTGATTTTTTTTAACATCTTTAAATAATAATTAATAACTTGCATTAATGTTACAGTGAGAGTGGTGCATATTGAAGATAAGTTAATAGAAAATAAGCTCCTGTGATTTGGGTACATATACCAAAGGGAAGGAACTGCAGCACGGATAAAACAAATATTTAAGGATGAGAAAGCAAAAAGACTGGATGAAAGGTAATATGGATGGAAATTGCGTTAAATGATTTATAAGATTAGATTAAGCACTTATGCAATACTTAGCTAGAAATAATAGAAATTGAGAATTCATAATGCTGGCCTAAAATAGTTGGGATGAATTTAATAATAATGATTATGACAATAAGAATGCTCAGTAGATGCAGTTGATCTGTACGTACAACAGGAGGTATAAGAAGCTAACAGCATGAGTCATTAATGCGAGTCCTAAAACAATCAATGGCATCTTCCTTTTCAATTAAGGGGCATTTATTTACATAGCACACAATTCTTATGTATTTACATATCTCCCTCCAAAACTTTCATGTTTATGCACATAACACTCAAATCTTTAATTACACAAAAAAATAGTACTATTAACACTTTTAAGAAGTAAAATACACTTTTCATGCCAGGGTTTCAAGCACCGAAGTGCTATGTATGTGAATATGAAAGTGTTATGGTATGACTCATATACCATATCGGGACAGACGCTGGATCGGAGCGGAGCAGAGCGGAGCGGAAGAATCTGTCCAAATTGGGAAGTTACGTGGGTTGGGGTGCGGGGGCAAAGCCCCGCGGTATGGTACAAGGGTAATGTTGTAATTACATATTGTGCCTAGGTTTACTCCTGGGGTTATAAATAGGCCTGTTAGTAACCCCAGGAGGTATCCCTCTATTCTGTAACCCTTTTCTGAATATTGAAAGGAACTCGCCGCTCTGCTCCCGAGGACGTAGGCATCTTTGTCGAACCTCGTTAAATCTTTGTGTTCTTCTGGATTTGTGTTGTTACTGTTTTTTTCGCCCTATTATTTTCTCAACAAGTGGTATCAGAGCCAAGGTTCAAGGGCAAGAAAAAAAAAAAAAAAATTGTGGCGGCGCAGGAAGTAAGAAGAACGATTTGGGGATTTTGGAAGGAGAAGTTTCAGGATTTGCGTGGCTTCAGTTCGAAATCGAGGTATTCAAGAGGCAGTACAAATTTCGGCCCACGACGCAGATTCGAAGGAGTTCCCGCGAAGGAGGAATCGACGAGATTAAGGCGGCGAGGGTTCCGGGCAGGCGATTTTTTGGCGGAGGCTTGCGAAGGCAGCAGCAGCGAAAGTGGAGGGTTCCGAAGGATCGCGAAGGAGGTTTTGCGATAGGAAGAGGAGCTCTTGCCATCGCAGGTTCGGCTGAGGCCGCGGTGCGTTCCGCAGTTGGGGAGCTCGGCGCTGATCGCGAACAGAAAAGGAAAGGAGCGGAGAAGGGAAGAAACGGAAAGGAGGAGAAAGCGAAGAGGAATCTTGGATTTCCATGAATTTCCTTTCCTGGAGATCTGCTAGGAGGAGGAATCTTTGATTAGGAATATTCCCCTCCATTATTCCCTGATTTTCTCCCGCCGAAGGCTGCTGCAGTGGATTGGAAAGGAAAATTTTTTTATGTTTTTAATTATGTTTATTAAAAACATTTAATTAAGGAAAATTTAATTAAAGAAATTTAATTAAGTAAAAATTCCTTAATTAAAGAAAAATATTTTCTTAAAAAAAAAAACAAAAAAAAAAGGGCCTAAGCAAGGATTTTTGCAGAGAAAT